AACTCCATGAGGCTCAACAGAGGGAAGCCACCAGGCAAGGTAAGATACTAAAGGGAAAGGGGGAAAAAATAAGAAATAAAAGAGCCAACAAAAGTAAAACATCATGACAAGGATAAATCAGTATCTCTCAATTATAACTATCAATGTTAATGGCCTCAATTCACCAATCAAAAGAAATAGACCGGCAGAATGGATTAAAAAGGAAAATGCAACAATATGCTGTGTACAAGAAACACACCTAACTCAAAAAGAAACTCATAGACTGAAAGTAAAAGGATGGAAAACAGTTCTCCATGCAACAGGAACCCAGAAAAGAGTAGGGTAGCAATCTTATTTGCAGACAAAAGAGATTTCAAACCAAAATTAAGAGAGATAAAGATGGTCATTACATCCTTGTGAAGGGAACGATCCAAGAGGAAGAGATGACAATCCTAAATATATATGCACCAAATCCGAATGCCCCCAACTATACAAAACAAATATTAATAGACATGAAAAACCAAATAAACACTAACACAATTGTAGTGGGGGACCTCAATACCCCACTATCACAAATAGACAGATCATCTAGAGAAAGATCATTACCAAACAGTTGATTACAGTGAGTTCTCCCAGCCACTGCTACTCTTGCCATTTGTTCAGTATATAACTGCAGAGTTTTTATTATCTAATTAGGAAGGAATAGCCATTCAATGGGGAACAACTGAGAGCTGTAAAATTGCCCTAAGAACCTAGTAGGAGATGAGGAGTTTCCAAAACACAGAGAATAAGAGGTTAGTGCTCATTAACCTAATATAGTTGTCCTTGTAACATTCTTTCTACCAACTGTAATTCTTCCTGTGTTTCAGAAGTTAATTGTCAAGGGGAATTAGTCTGAGGATCACCTTGTAAAGTATTTTAGAGATATTTTAATTGATATGTGGCAATACCTAATTTAGGCTGAATCCAATTAATATCTCCCAGTAATTTTTTTAAAGGCCAATAAAGGATCCCATCTTATATTTATTTTTTGCGGTCTCACTGTCCATTCTGTGAGCAAAGTTCCTAAGTAGAGATAAGGGCTAGAGGTCTCTACTTTATCAGGAGTTATGCAAAGGCCATGACTTTTAAGTTCTCTCTTTATTGTAGCAAACAAAACATGTAGCTAGCTGTGGTTTTGTTGCCATGTACAGCAAAATATCATCCATATAATGAATAATACAAGCTTGAGGATATTTTTGAGCAGATTGTAAGGCGTGATTTACAAAATGCTGACACAGGGTGGGACTTTTTAATCATTCCCTGAGGTAAAACTGTCCACTAATACCTGCTCATAGGCACTTTAAAGTTAAATACTAGGTACAGAGAACAAAATACTGGTGACCAGGTGGGTGTAAGGGAATTGTGAAGAAACAGTCTTTAAGGTCAGTAACAATCAATCTGGAGGAATGGCTGCAGGAAATGAGAGACCAGGGTGTAAACCTTCCATCAACTGTAAATAAGCATTTATTGCTCTTAAATCCTGTAATAATCTCCATTTTCCAGATTTCTTTGGAACAGGAGTGTTCCAGGAGCTGGTAGATGGTTCTAAGTGCCTTAATTGGATTTGTTCTTGCACTAAAGAATCTAAGTGTTTTAGCTTCTCTTTATTTAGGGGCCACTGATCCACTTAGACTGGGATATCTGTTTTCCATTGAAGTGGTAAAGCTGCCCTATGGGGAGAAGCATCAATGACCCCTATTAAAAAGGGCATTGATATCCTGTGCCTGCATGTAACTGACAGTGGCTCGAGTTTATCTTGCAAATTTTTTCCTAAACCAGAATCTGCTTGATAGCCCATCTTTTTCATAATTTGTTTTGCCACATTAATTTGTTCGTTAATCAGCATAATTCTCTATTTCTTAAGAGATCTCTTCTTCATAAATTTGCCCGTATGGAAGCCACATAAGGTTGAAAGGTCCCGGCTTGATTTTTCTGGCCCTGAGTAAGATAGGGGAGTTGCACTTTGCGGTAGATACTTGTTGAGGGGAGCCAAGCCTCACTGATGAGGTGATGACAGCCTTAGTGGGCCACAGGGGAGTCCATTGTTCAGCAGCCATAACAGATACATCAGCTCCTGTATCTATCAATCCTTCAAAATATTTGCCCTTTATTTTTATTTTTTTGGGTGCCGGGAATTAAACTTGGGTCCTTGCGCTTGTGCAGCAGGTGGCGAAACCACTGAGCTAAATCCCCGGCCTTGCCCTTTATTTTTATTATACACATAGGTATATGTGTATATGCTCACCTAATTCTTAAGTTTAAAAATTTCTTGGGGTACTACCAAAGCTCCCTTCCTTTCTTTGCTGCTTTCTATATTGTATTGAGGGGGAATCCTACTATGGGAAGAAGTATCAATTGAGTAACAATCACCTGGCTCAAAAACCCAAACTTCCGGGCCAGGGATTTGCCTCTCCCAAGTTCTATCCCCGTACCAAAAAAAAAAACCCCAAACTTCCAAAGAATAAGCCACAATTTTGATTTCTCCTTCATAATCTAAATCCCCTGGGGATTTAGCTTAGTGGTGCTGCCCCTGTCTGGCAAACTCAAGGTCCTGAGTTCAGTTTCTGGTACCGAAAACAAAACAAAAAACCTGCCATAATCAGAATCAGTTACCCCAGGCATCATAGTTATACCTTGGAAATTTAGGCTACCTTTACCCATAATTAACCCAACAATACCCTCAGGGAATGGTCCCTAGATCCCTGTGGGTATCTATACAGGCTTATCTCCCTGGATTACTGTTATTCTCTAGGCTGCAGGTAGATCTAATCCTACACTCTGTGGAGTTCCAAGAGTGAGTGAAGCAAATGTTTCACCTGGAATCCGGGACGGATTGCTGATCATTGCCTGTACTGGAAAGGGCCCTATTTTTCCAC